GCGCCTGGGAGGGTGAAAATAGGAGGATCCCTATGAGTCTGATCGACATAGTGAGACCCTGTAGTCCCTGTACTGAATAAAAAAAAAAAAAAATAAGTTACCATAAGCCCTCTCTACACTATTATAGCAGTAAGTAGTAAGTAGTTCAATTCTCTAACCATGATGAAAGTTCAGAAATGGAAAGTGAAACCACTCAGAGAACAAAGGAAAGGGGACCTGCCCAGACAGGCCTCCTTGGATACTTAATTTTGCTTAAAGTAAGAGTGACTGCTAGGCAAATTCTGATTCTGGGAAGCGGCAAACCTAGTTTTTAAAATGAACCCCTTAGAGCTTCCAGGTAACAGAATCACCAGCAGGCAGGGAGTTTCTCAAACATAATTTTTAGGGCTCTGAGCCCAGGACAATGATGTGCCATCACAGAACAGCTTTTTTCTACACGTTGCGACCAGTAAGAGACATTTTCCTGTTGCTTCCTCCTTCTTAACTTGGGCCCAGTGAAAAAGTACTAAGACACTTCACTTTCACACAAGACAGTAGTGCTCAGGGCTGGAGGATACCTGGACCCAGTCTATGTGGGGTTACTCCTGTTCTTTGCACTTAGTGGCTGTGAGATCTTGGGGTAGCTAACTCACAGTTGTAACCCACATTTGCTTATCTGTAAGTCAGGATAGTAACAACACTTTCCTCGCAGAGTTATTGGGATGAGAAATGGGATGCTCCAGAAAGCTTGCATCAGGGACTATTTTTCCATTGCTTCAAGTGAGATCCAGAGTTGGAGCCTCCTATCAAGTCTCTGTGGAGCTGCAGGACATGGGGGTTCTGTTCTGAGCTCCAGGCCAGAACCAACTAGATATGCCCACTTTGGGGTCAGGTCAAGGAGCCCTGAAGGGGAAGAGACTTGGGAAGTGGCAACCCTTACGTCCACCTCTCTTCTTCCAGTCCTACTTCAGATGGGAGGCTTCTAATAGAACAACTGAGTTTTTTTGATGCAAATATTTTCTGCAAGGCACTAGCTTTACACCAACTCTGAAAGAAAGGGATAAAGCATAAGCAAATAGTGAAATGAATGCTTAAAAATCTGTGTATACTGACAGGAGTATGACTGGAATTTCTGTTCATAAGATTATCACTTAGTGATGGTGTCAGGGAGACTGAATAAATGTTTATCGCATGAGTATTAGGAATTTGGCAGCAGTCAAAGTTTAGAAGGCTGCTAGCTCAGAGGCTTACGTGTTCAGAATCCCATACAGTATGTCCTTGTTTATGGACATAGGACAGGGTGCTATTAGGAGGAGAAAATAGATAAAA